ATACAGCCCTTGAAGCACCCAGCTGGGACCAGTGGCACAGGTGAGGATGCTCACAGGGCTTCTGTCCTCCCTGCTGCTCGGGGTTTCTGCAGTGGTTGTTGTGCTGCCAGCATCACAGACCCAGATCACTTTGGGCAGCCACCTGTTGTTTTTTAACTGATTTCAGAATGACCCAAACCCCACTGTTTTCCCATTACTTCCTTACAAAAGTGAACCGGTTACCACTCTTTGGGCTTGCCTGCAGAAACGCAGAGTTCTGTGGAAAGCCCTGTGCAGCACTGGCCTTTAGACCTGGTCTATAGTGGGACCAGGAAGCCCCACTACAGAGGGTGCCAACCAAGGGGGATTGCACATCACATACAGCCCCCAGGAGGATTGCAGGCATAAAATACGTAGGGGGAAGGGGAGGAAGACTCTGATTTTAATGTCACCCCTAGATACTTTCACTCATTAGTGCTTCAGCAAGCTGCCACTACTAAACTGAATGTGAGGCTGAATGGAAAGGGCCACACATGTGGCGTTCCCAACCTTACCAGCAATCTGGTCAATTGGACCAGGAGAACCCGTGTCAGGTGAGGAAGACAAGGTCCCCCAAAAGCCTATCTGGGCTTAGGACCTCATGCAGCAGCATCCTCATCTGCTGAAGGTCAATCCTCACCCAGAAAGCTCATAGCCTCAGCCATGGAAAGGTGGGAGAGCTGAGCTCAGGGAACCTGCTGAAGACAAGGAGGCAAAGAAGGGTGAAAGGGTTCTGCAGGGAACCACTCTACCCAGAGGTTACATCTGCATTTAGCAGGCCTTTCTGCATTGCATCATGCAGGAGAGGTGTGGGCTGTGTGTTTGAGGAAGCTGCTTTTAGCTGAATGGGATAAAAGGGAACCCAAGACGTTCTAGTTTTAGTACCAGAAGTAGACAGGGAGAGAAAGAGGAAACTCGTCCGTTAAGAAGGATCCTACAAAAATAAATCCCACTGCAAGTTAGCCATCAAAGTTTAGTATTAATTATGGTTTTGTGCAGAGGAGTGTAAACTGCACAGTGCTAGTTGTTTCCACTGCTCTCTTTATAGGTCTTGTGGTTCAATACATTGAATTAATACTTTCTTAATGGCCATGGAATGCTGTGGCAGCACTCTTCATCTAAAGCTATGTCTTTGTATCAGGCACTCTCAAACCACTCAGATAATACTACTATAGCTTTATGTATATGCAGGAAAACCTGTTACCTGTCCTGCTTGAGAGGTGGTGAGATGGCTTTGCACAGCCCCTTTCTGTACACAGTTTTACAGTTTGAAGACAGTAGGGCCTATTAAATCATCTAGATGGGTCTTCTACAAACCCCATGCTATTGAATTTCACTAGATAAGTCCCTGTGAAGTTTTCCATGTTCAGCTAGGCAGAAACAGTCTTGTGTGAAGCAGGCAGAAGGAGCACTATGGCTGGCCCTCTGACATTGGGGTCAGCAGTGGGGAGCTATTGAATCCAATGCCAATTCTTGCCTGCAAACACTAAGCAAAAACACTTCTGAAAAATGAGTGCTGCACACCTTGTTGTCTTTTGAGGTGCTTTAATTATGCAGCTGTCTTAATGACAGAATGTCTTGGTCTCAAGCGAGGAAAAAAAAGTATATTTTGTTCAGAAAAGTCAGGCCTTAATTTGTTTTGTGATTTTCCAGAATCCAAATTTCAGAATTCATTTTTTTAGACAAAAAAATAAAATTGAAATGCTTACAAGGCAAGTTCTGTTTCCAGTAATCACATTTCATAATGCGGGCAAATTAAGCTATTGCACCATCCTTCTGCTTAAAAACCATCACCACGGGTATGGCAGAAGCTTTTCTGGGAGGTGCTGTGGGTGTTTTTTATTTCACATTACTGGACTATCAGTAATACAGCAGGGATCTGCAGTGGGAGATGCTCTAGAGCTTAATGTGTTCTCTGGGTAAGTCTAGGACGTAAGAGACAACCGTTTTTGCTTCAAAATGAGCTGATTTTGGTTTACCTTGATACACAATGAGAAAGACAGAGGTTTTCTTGGGAAGCAGCAATGCAATGCTCTCACTTCAAGATACAAGTCCCAGGATGTAATAATAAATACCCAAGCAGTTTTGGAGATTATTATCCTATCTGCAGCGACACCCTGTGGTGATAAAGCAGTAGTTTATCTCTGACCTTGTTAACTCGAAAAACCACAAAAGTTCCGTCGTGACTATCCTAATGCCTGCCCTCATTAGCAGGAGGAAACATACAGCTGAAAAGTATTTTTTCCTGGTAACAAGAAACATTCCTTATAGGATACGAGGAGACAAGTCTTCTGCTGTTACTGTTATAATTTAGTCATTATTATTTGCACTGTCAATATTTCTAAAAGTTATTTCATATGCACAGCATCTGCCTTTAGCAGAAAAGAAATATCAGGTTAAACTGTAACTTGTATACAGATGTACAGTAATTTAGTTTGAAATATCAGGAGAAATCATATATATACACATAAAAAAAGACCTAGTAACTCGTTAACCACTATGTATTTTGAGTAAGTTGCTCAGGTTTTATTCTGTTATGGAGGAGAGTACTAAAGTGTGGATTACTGCTCTCAAGGACAGGCTGTTTCCATACAGGACTTAGCAGCATCAGTGTCCGACTTGCCTTTTTTTCATCAGTAAAAGCAGATTTGAAATATGCACTCTCAGAGGTTGTTGTGGGAAGCGAGCAGACTGACTGCACTCAACATGAGGGTTTGCTTAGCTAGGAGGGAGTACTTGACCTGGTATAAACCAGGCAGCATGAACTGCCTCCTTGGTTTCAGCCTGTCTTTATTTTCTTCATCCTTCCTTTGTTTAGCAGCACACATACAGACCACATATATACACATACACATGACCATGTATGTAAACACACTCACTAACAACACAGATAGACTCTTAAGAGTACTCACAAGAACAGAGACAGCATCAACGGCTCTCTCCTGCTCCCTCTGCTGGCTGAGCAGCATGGAGGCCCACTGCTGGGACCATACATGTACAGAGACACCCAGAAGGCTCCATAGCTAACCCTGAAGCCCAGTCTCCTTTCACTGGCAACTGGACACAGCTGCACTCCAGCTGCTGGTACAAACTCTCTCACTCAGGTAGACACATGCATACAGAGAGCTGGTCAGGACTCTCCTGGTCTCCCCAAAAGCCAGCTCCTTCTGTGGCCTTACCTGTAGGCATCCCACCACCACGGGCTCTGAGGACACTTCTCCTGCCTGGCTATATCCTTCCTGGTGCTCACACACTCGCATGTGCATCTGCACTTGCTCCAAGTGCTGGCACCACAGGCACAAGGACCCCTACAACCCAAGGTGCTACTCCCACTCCTGGCACATAAATTATTTCGCTCCAGTTACTGTACCACAGGCACACAAGTGCACTCCAGTTAGTGGCACCTGATCCCCCCATGCACACACAAAACAGTCCCCTTTTTAGGTATGTTTAACAGAGGCCTACTTAATTTTTCAGTGTAAGTGTGGGTAATAAATCTGTCTGGAAGTGAAGTTTCAGTCAGTTAAAATAGACTAACACAAAGCATTTCTACAAGAGATACCAGATTCCTCATATTCAGCAGGCAGTCATCAGATAACTCATCTATAATGTTTTAAATTGCTTTCTCTGCATAACTACTGAACCTGCATTTCCCATGTCTCAATCACTAATCTTAGCACCTGGCTATACAGTACACAACACTTTAAAGTAGCTTATTTTCAAACTTTAGGTGTAAGGCAGATAGGGAAGAAAAGGGAAGGTAGTATTTTGAGACAGAGACACATAATTAAAGACAAAATTAACCTGCAAAAGCTATCGGATCCTAAATAAATAATGCACGTAGAAAAGCATAATACAATTTAGGAAACAGTATTTAATTCAATTTCAAAAAACCCCAAATGCCTCTGGAAGTGAACATCAATTTGCTAACATTGTTTATGCTATACAATTTAAAGAGTTTTAAGTCTTGCTTTGCAAGCACCCAGTAGTCATTTACCATCGTCTTCCTCTGATCTTGAAAAGATTGCCACAAGATGAAATATCAACAAAAATGTTTTAAAATTTTATAAAAACCTGTTCCATAAAATGCAGAGTCAAGAGATACAAAATTACTACTTGTTAACATATTTTAGCTAAAGTCTTGTAATAACTCAAACTGATATTAGAGGTAAGAAGTGAAATTTCTTCAGTACCACAAATCCAGGTTTCCACACAGATTAAATGTGGTACACACATAGCACTAAGCAAACTCACTCTTATTTAGGGCTAGGAAGAGCAAAACAGACTGTTCAGAATGTAGACTTCCTTTTGCACTGATTCTTTTAGATTTGATGATCTTAGAGGTCTTTTCCAACCTCAGCGATTCTATTATTATAGCCCAAAACATCCCCCAACAGCGCCTCCCTTAGGGAGCTGCAGAAAAAGAAGGTTTTGAAGACTGGTCCCACAGTCACTCAGCTTCAAGGTCAGAATATAAAATTTACTTTTAAACAGCTACCATGTGGATATAATTGCTTTACCTAATATTAGGTCCATACAAAAAGTTATAAAATTATCAGGAAAAAAATTATTCTAAATATGCTTCCTAATTGCATGTAAAAAATTAACTGGCGCTTTTCCATAGTTTATGCCCTAAGTTATGAAAACAGTTTAGGTTAGCTTGTAACCTAAACTTCAAGAACTCAAATTAAGAAGAAACATATGATGACAGTACTAGCATACTACCATCATTAGTAAACATATCACGTTCTGAATCTTCTTCCTACTGGCAAAGATATAAAACCAAACTATTTACAAGAACTGTTTCTTTTCTAGGCCCCTTCAGCAAAGTGAAATGTAGCACCAAACAGATCTGATAAGTGACGTGATCTCCAGTCTCCTCTTCCTGATTTTGAGATACTCAGAACACTGCTTTCAAATTTGCCTGTGCTTCAGCTACTCAAGTTTGCATTTCTAACACAGCCATACTGTTTTACTTCTAATAACGGACATCTCTAATTCTGAGACAGTTCATTATGCCACACACAGTAGTCAACAGCAATTCAGATTTAAAAGTGGTATTCCATACTAAACATTGCATATAAATTACAAACAAAAACATGACATGAAAGATTACAAGGTGAAATTCTTTCAGCAAGGGAAGTAAAATTCTTTGGTGAGCATAGAGACAATGCAGGGAATCTGTTTCTTTGCATTAAAATCCTGTCTGGTTGAGCAGGACTCATACTCTGCTACTCTGCGATTTACACGAGTTAAAATCTGCATGAGTTCAAGCTTCCTTGCATGTTCCTTCAGGACTTTACACAGTGACTGAATAAACCAGGAGCCCTCAGCTGAATTCCTCCAAGAGTAATAGCCTGTGGAAGAGAGAGATGTCAAATTGATCAGATGTAGCAGCCCCTGATACGGGACAGGATAGCAATTATGGGGACAATGCATAGTTTCCAATAGCAAATCAATGTTTTAAAATAAACCTCAAAACCACTAACCAACATAATTTATATTTTCTAATCTCTCCAGACTCCAATTCAAAAGATTTTTCTAATCCTCTCATCTTTTCAAATCTAAGAACAGGCAGGAACACTACCTTCTGCTGCAACAGTCTTACTACTTAATTACTTACTACTATTTATAGAGAACACTTATATAAATGAAGGAGAGGTGACAATCCTGATGGAACCAAGGTGTAAAATGTATTTCAGTGTCACTATCTTCAGGACTCTGTGCATGGAACCTATTTCTGCTAACTGGTAACCTACAGGGCATAACTGGGGGCTCTGCCACTAATATTTTGCTTAAGTATGCAATAAAAATAGAGTTGATAGGCAAATAATATGCTGGTGTTGATCACTGACTTCTGTACATGCATCTGCAGATACCTGACTGGGTTGCTCTCTCAGAACTAAAAATATGTTTCACTTCCTGCTGTAAATTATTTGCACAAATCAGTTTAATAGAATTTATAGCAGATTAACATCTGAGGGGTTGCTAGTGAGAAAGATGTATGTTTAGATTTGGGTTTGTATTTTGTAGGAACTGAGAGTAGTAACTACCTCAAAAAGAAATCAAATCAGGAGGGAAAAAATGACTGACAGAAGAAAATTCATGTTTTCATGAAAGAGAACAAATTATTACCTACTGACTGGATACAACTGCAAATGGTCACATTCAATATCAATACAAGCCAATATATGAATACAATTTCAGGGACAAAAATTTATTTGCAAGTCTCTCACCTGGAGCTGTAGAATATGCATACAAGAAGTCTGCTTCTACAGGTATTTTTTGACACATTGTTTCTTCTGATCCACTGTCTGCCTCAATACCAGAATCTAACTCTGTCCCTCTACAAGCCTATTTGGGAGAAAGGAGAACGGAAAATAAAATGAAAAATTAAGAAATAAAGACAACAATCATGATCAGAATATTGGTAGGTTTTTTTCTTTTTTAATGGCAATAATATCCAATTAGAAACTGTAAAAATGAGAATTTGTATGTCAGATTTCCATTAGACAGACTCAAGAAAAGTATCTAGCATTTATTCAAATCAACTACACAGTTTGGTTAAGCTAGATATTAATTCAAAAGTGCATTCAGAAACTCACTAAAATATTGGCTAGTGTTCAGGAAGACTTACATAATTAATAGAATTAAGGTAATGCAGTCTCAGCTATTGCAAACTGCCTACCTAATAGGGCAGACTGTGCCACTTTTAGACCTGAAGAGAATCTTACTCTGAAAGTAATTAAATTTAAATCAATAATTGACTTTTGTCACTAATATAGGGAAACGGTATTTTTTACATTATCCAACTGACTGGATTATTGTGCAGTTGTACATCACCTGAATGAAAAAAAGCTTGGGTTTTCCTGCTAAAGTTCTGCACCTGTCACCTCTGAAAAGGCTTGTTAGTGTTTTCAGTTCAAGAGGACCATCTGTGCCATAGATCAATCCTTCTTCACCATGGCTAAGCAACACACAAACAAAACTGCTTCGCTTGCTGTGATCTTCTTCAGAAACTTGAAAGAAAAAAGAGAATTATCTTAACTTCCTGCATTCCCTAAAAACTTTGAAAATCTGATGCTTCCTATGTGATAGAATTCTCCAAGAACTAATTCCCATGTTTAGAAACCTCCAACCAATTTTCATGTCCAAACTAAAGAAGCCAGCCTACTTTACTTAATTCAGGAGGTTGGACACAGAAAACCCCGAATTAAAGGCCAGCTAAGACATGGCCACACAACTAGGCCAAGAAAACAATGACCAGACAGGAAGTATTCCTCCAGCATCTCAAGGTCTGAATGGTACACCCTGGTCATGCAGCAATGGTCAACAGTCTCATAATCTGGAATTGGACTGATGGGAACTTCTGAGTTTTGGGAAAAGATGGGCAAGTATTACAACTCTTTCCAATCACAGATGCTTCAACTTCTTGGATTATATGGGAATTCAGTGTAGCATGAAAGTTGTTGCTACTGAAGGGACCTAGGTACTAGCATCACCCCCCTCTCTGTCCCACTCTTGCCTGTAGCAAGGTCTAGGAAGCTTTTTCAAGTCTCTGAATTCTTTCTTAAAGACATTTAAGTTAGATATTACATGTTCGTAGATTTAATTTTTTTCCATCTTGTGATATGCAAAGAGTACAGAACAGTTATTCTCTTGTATCTTTTACTGCCTGACATTGTGAGATATACTTGAAGACTAAGATGATTCTCAGTTAAATCTATGAAAAGACACAAACATGGTTTAAATGAAAGAATCCAAAAGGACATCTGAGTGGGAAACTCAGTAAGATGTATGCATTTGTAGACAAAAAGTGGAACGGTCCCAAGAGCTTGCCAAAAGATTGGATTTCTATTCTGGAAAAGTAGTCTTTCAAGCAATGCATACTCAGGCATTTCTATAATCTATGGACAAGCACTGCACCTAGAGATAGGAAAGGCGGGTTTTTTTTGAATCTCTAGTTAGGCTGCAGTCTGTATTTTGCACTATCTATTTGGAGGTCTTATACCACAGGTAAGACAGAAGCCTTTCCACTTTCAGCTACTGTCAACAGACTGGCTGCAACTAATAAATTAACCAGGCCTGGGAGCATTCTCTGGTATAAACATTAACTGGCACTAAAGAACCTACATCTATGTTAGCAAACAGTTATACTTAAAAACTAAACCAAAACCACCCCAAAAAAACCCCAAACCAAACACAAATAGAAAAGAACCAGGATTGCAGGTTAACCGACTGTTAGGAATAATTATTGGATTATTGGATCCTTTTACTGTTAAACTGTGACCTGGAACAGCCTTGGAGAGTGCTAGCAGGCATGAGCCACGGTCATGCCAGAAAACCTACCAACAGTGAACTAGAATAGACTGTGTTCCAGGGCTACAGATACCTCCAGGCACCATTTAATTTACTGGTCTAGATGTAGCCAAGTCCAAACAAAGCAGGACTAACACAAACAGTAGCATGTAGCTCTCACTTGACAGAAGGATGTTTTGTTTCACAAGTCAAACAAAACATGAGTTGTTTCTCCAAAAGAGTAATTCAATCCACACACTTGCAGTTCTGGTCCCTTGATCAGAAGCCCCCCAGATCAGAACACCTCCTGAGCCACACCACAAAGCATATAGCACAGAATCCCTCTACCCAGTTAAGCAGGTTTCTTTCCAACTCACAGAGCTTCAGTGATCCCAGGGTCAGAATATAAATCAGTCTGCATTTAAGTGTCAGCGTTTTTTCCAGACTTCTTTAGAAGATAAGAAAGAATATGGAGACAACAGTCATGGCACAAAAGATGGAGAGACATCAAAGATGAATAAACACAGAAACTATGATGTACATGTCATCCTTAGCCATAAACCAATGGTAGGTGTGAAATACCACCTTAAAGAACCACGGAAGAAGAGATGTCAGGGCTAGAGATGTGTCTGGAAACAGTGGTTGATTTAATAGACACACTGAAATAATTATTACTTACCATTTTTCAATAGTTTAAATATGTCCCTGCATGAAAGATCATTGTTGATTTTTATTTTATATCCCAACTTCATAAAAACTTCTCTGACATTTGCAGCATCTGCATCTGTACCCGAACGGGCTGACATCCCTATATATAAGAGAAATGTATTATTTTTTTATGTGATAGAGATTGAATGGTCTGAATGAGCCAAATTATCTTCTCACTTGCGTATCAATCTGCAATATTATTCCATATCCACTCTAATAGAAAAAAAAATGGCACTGTTATACATGTACACCATTCCTCTCTCTCTCTCTCTGTACCTATGTTACAGATTTACATACTCATTTTATGTCTACCTAGCTATATAAAGACATAAAAAAAGGATTTAATTTTCAAAACAGAAATCATGACTAAGTTAAGACAGACTTGTACTGACTAACAATCTTTCTCCCCATTCCTGTTATACCCCGACATGTTCCCTATACATATATTTGGAAGAATGCACTGAAATGAGTCACATCCATTCAAACCACTTAATTTTAGATTGCAATCAAAATAGGTCTGTGTATTTACTTGGAAGAATAATACATGCTACTAGTTTACCTAAATTAAATAAAAAAACTTTAAAATTTGGAAGTGGTACCAGTGTCTCGGTGGAAATTCTTATTGTTTATTATTACACATTGCCCCATCTCTGGATAATCCATTCTGTAACTGTCATCTGGCAGAATTCCAGAGTCCATAGACTTGCTAGGAGGTAGGTTCTTCCTGTATAGAAAACAGACAAACTTTATGCATTAATTTCTGATCTCTCTTTTCTAGTTTCAAAATAATAATTAAAAACCATTAGTTTAGCAAAACCAACAAAATTGGTAATATTTACTGCTTGTTCCCTCAGCAAGTTGGCTGACACCAAGCTGTGTGGTACAGTCACACACTGGAGAGAAGGGATGCCATCCAGAGGGACCCTGCCAGGCTTGAGCTGGGGCCCATGCCAACCTCATGGAGTTCAATAAGGCCAAGTGCAAGGTCCTGCACCTGGGTCAGGGCAATCCCAAACATGGATACAGGCTCGGTGATGAGTAGATTGAGAGAAGCCCCGAGCAGAAGATTTGGAGGTGCTGGTGGACAAAAAACTGAGTATCAGCTGGCAATGTGCATTCACAGCCCAGAAAGCCAACTGTATCCTGGGCTACATCTAAAGAAGTGTGGCCAGAAGGTTGAGGAAGGTGGTTCTCCCTCTTTACTCTGCTCTTGGAGTATTTTGCCCAGCTCTGAGGCTCCCAACATAAGAATGACATGGACCTGCTCAAGCAGGTTCATAGTAGAGCCATGAAGATGATCAGAGGGCTGGAGAACCTTCCCTATCATGGCAGGTTGAGAAAGTTGGGGTTGTTCAGCCTGGAGAAGGCTTAAAGGGAACCCACAGAAAAGATGGGGACAGACTTTTTATGAGGGAGTCTTGTGACGGGACAAGGGGTTATGGTTTCAAACTGAAAGAGGGTAGACTTAGGTTAGACATTAGGAAGAAATTCTTCACTGTGAGACACCAGAACAGTGTCCCAGAGAAACTGTGGATGCTCCCTCTGTGGAAGTGTTCAAGGCCAGGCTGGATGGGGCTTTGTACAACTTGGTGTAGTGGGAGATGTCCCTTCCCATTCAGGGGGGTTGGAACTAGATTATCTTTAATGTCCCTTCCAACCCAAATAATTTTATGATTCTAAGTAATGTCTGTGAAATTAATTGGTAGATCTGATTTGACTACTGAAGACTGCACTTGCTCAGAGGTTAAAATAAATAAAACTGGTTTGTATAGTTATGTTCCTAAATAAAACTTTTGTTTCAAGTTAGGTAAAATGTGCACATCCACAAATAATTAAAAAATGAAAATGAAGAGTAATTTGTAGTAATCTTCCATGCAGCTTTTCAAGACAGCTAATCACATGATAATGATTTTAAGCCAAGTCTAACTGCATCTCAGCTGTTTCGCTTTTTAATTTCCTGTATATACACATGGTCTGTTCTCTCAAGAGACTGTATATTTTCGAAGTCAGTACAACTCTCTAGTTGTTTATGATTATTATTTACCGTAATTGAAACTTTACCCTTCGCATTATTTCTTCTATGGCTCTCACCTTCTGTTACAGCACAAGATCCATCAAGACTTAAATTGAAGACTTAAGCCAAAAGTCCCTCACTTACCCTTTGGAACCAGGAATAGATTTTGCATCTGTCAGATGTTCCCCTAAATGTGGTCCATCTCCTGTATCTGCCATTATAGCTCTCAATTATCAGCTTGAAAACATAAGAAAACAGAAATACAGGAGAGTTAGTTTTCATATGAAATAATACCTTCTGATTGCTTAATTTTTGCTAGGTTTCCTTGAAGCCTTACATAATCAGAGAGGAATTTTTTAGAATTATAGAGAAAAGTGGAATGTTACAAGGGGATATTCACACGGAATAACTCTGGCCCAGGATTATTAGTTTTGGTAGGCAAAAAATTTGCATTTTAGAGTAACCCCTTATATACCTTATATTTGACAGAAGAACGTGAACAATTTCCCTAAGCTATTGTGTTCTAAAACAACTCTGGAAAAACAGTCTGCAGACCCCTATGACCAAATAATCGCAAATTATTTTATGAGACACAAACAAATTGAAAACCTTTGAAATGTCTGTATGTCCCTACATGCACTAGTAGCATTCTAGCATTATGAATATTGTGTCATATATGGATCCTTCCATCTCAGCGAGACAGAAATTGAGATTCAAAATCAAGCAATACAAGTTACTGGATTTGTGCAAACACTTAACATAGAAGATTACATTTCTATTTCATACTATTTTGGGAAACAAGTAATTTTTTTGCATGCCATTTCAAATGAAACATCACCACAAGCAATCCTAATTGGTGTATGTGAAGACAACTGCAATATAAATAACATAAAACCACAACAATATAACTTAAAAATAGTTGATGAAATTAACTCTATTCTGTGGGCTGCTGCTTTTTTTCAGTCAGAACATAGACAAGAAATTACGATTGATAACAAACCAGAAATTAATTCAAAACCAATAAACCTTCCTCCCAGTTACTCTGTCTGTACTCATGGAACACATTACCGCAAGTGACCTTTAACTCATGGTTCAGGCAAGGATTAAGCATCACAAAGTTACGTATAGGATAGGACAAAATAATAAATACTTAGAAGCGAAATAAGCACTCAGACTCCATGAAACAAACAAGGCACTACAAGAGATGAATTTTAAATAAACTTAACAGATATATTTATTATAAATAGGGACATATAAATAAACAGACCAAATAGTAAGATTTGCTGGTCAGATATGAAGACATTTAAGGACTAGGCTTTTTAGTGGCAAACCACATTTGCCATCTTATACCATCATGTTATTATTATATTAAGTCTCTTACCTTCATATCTATACTCTAGCTAGTACACCATGACACCTGTTTTCTGTGGCAACAATTACTGATGCATCAGAAGCACTAATATGGGTAAGTATAATCCTCTTTCTTTCATTGTTTCTTAAAAGACATTTACTTACACTTTTAGTGACTTCAAAAGATCTTCAAGGTTACTCTGAGTACTACTTCTTCGTATCCTGGAGCACTGACATAATGAAGAGCTCACAAAAGTATCAAATAAACTTGATATTTTAGACATAAAATTTCTAAAATAATTACTGATTTATATTTAAAAAAATAATGAGTTAAGAACTGCATCTATGATGCTAAACTTGCCTGCCTAGCACTATGATCTGGATTAATTCAGCCTAAGTTCAAAGTCTAACTCCTTAAAAGTTCCCTATGTTTAAAAAACACAAGCGCTTCCAAATTCAACTACCTAAGACCTGTGGCATAACAGTGATCCAACCCTATGCTTTATAATCGAGCAGGGAGCATTAGAATTGACAACAAAGTCTAGTCTAGAGTGACAACTGGCGTATCTACTGAGCTGTGACTGAAACAGAACTTCTGATTGACAAGAACACTAGAAGCTCCCCTGCTCCAGCACAGCCCAGCTTCCGGGTGTTTTTATGCCTCTTTCAACCCTGTCCCTACCACCATCATCCTGAGCTCTGGTTCCCAGCTTTCCCAAACACTCAGTCTGACACTTTTGAACAAAACTTCATTAGGAATACATCCAACCAGAGAGACCCACAATTCTAAAGCAGCTCATTCTGTTTCGTCCTCTGATGAAGCACTGTGTGCAGAAGCACAACCCAAACCCTTCACTGTGGCTGGGATTAATAGGAGAGACAGGAAAAAGGCTAACTTTCTTCCTCATTTGTTCTTTATCTGCCAGCAGTAATGCAGAACCACACCATATAAAAAAACCACAGCACTGCATACCAACTCCATTACCTAAACTAGGCAGCAGGTGTCCTGAGTGCAGTGTAGCCATGTCGGTATGGAATTCAGCTTTTGCTAAAAGCCCATATGCTCATCCCAGCTGTCTGACACTGTGAAGATCTGCAGTGCCAGCACTGCAAGTACATGAATCAGCTAGCGTAAACTAGTAAATATCTGCCTACATGAGCTGTGGTCACTTCCTGTCTATCCTATGAGCCAGCCTGGGCTACCAGTAAATACTTCGAGCTTATGTACAGGGGAAGCTGACAACTCTCTCTGGCCAACAGATGAGAATTGGATCATAAGGCTGCCCTGGGTTCACATCAGGCATGCTCCAACCAAACTGCTGCATCCCATTAGGACTAGTTTTAGTAAGCTGGTGGAAATAACACTTGTGAACAGCAGCTGACTTAAGTAGGCAAACTGGAGGCCTATCACACTGGGACCACTGAATCCTGCTATAACACAAATGTTAAAGCATGCTATCAAAAAATAAGAAAGACCTTCAACGTTTAAGCGACCTCAAACTAAGTCTAGTCTCCTTCACTCTTCTGCAACCTTAAGACTCTGAAACTGCTGTCCTTGATCCAATGCCAAAGAAGCAATGAAATCTGAAGTAGCTAGCAAAACCTACAATTACAACAAACGACAGGAGCTGGTTTCTGAAAGAACACATTTTGTCATATGGTATCATAAAAATCTCCCTTACTAAGAAGCCTTTTCAACCTAGCTCATAGCCTACAGTTTCAACTGTTTAATGAAGTGTTAAAGATTACTGCATTCAACCACATCAGGACTGGAGCTTGTCTAAGGGTTTTTACAAAAGCTAGAAAGACAGTGAAGAATAACTGGGTATAACACATTAGGTATTTGAAATACATGTGCTTTATCTTCAGAATAGAATCTGAAACAGTCTAATATTAACCCATTTCTAAGCACCTTAACGCACTAAGTCACCTGCATTTCTTTAAAGAACAAAAGACACGCACAAAGAAGTAAAAGTTTTGTCGTTAGGTTCTGAAATGCACGTTTCAATTAACACTATGTTTTCTGCTCTAAAGCACTAGTCAAGGGAACAACAACGCTCCCTGGAGGACACTGCTGATTCTAACAGATACTAAGAATTGCCTCATCTTTGTTTAGGTAATGCAATGATGTCATGTTCTGCCTAGCAGAACACATTTCCCTGCAGAGGATGATCTCATGCTATAAGGTATGGGGGGGGGGGAAATCAGGACAATGCATTAAGAATTTAATTTAAAATTGTTGTTCTGCTCCTTGAAATTGTGTTCTCTGAAAGATTAGGTAAAATAAGCTTTTAACTATAAGGAAACCAAAAAAGTAGCTCAAATGAGCAACAGCATTTTTCTAATCTAGCAGAATACATTCTGAAGGTTTTAGGAAGGTTATTTTACAGTATTTTGGGGAAAAAAAAAAAAAAAGCTTAAAAAACTCCTGAGACAAGAGATAGTGAATACAAAGATGATGCTACAGTGACCTCAACAGGTGCTAAGTAATAAAAGATAAAGTGGTTCAAAAAGGTTCAAAACTACACTCAGCAAGCTACCAAAAAGCAATAATATATTTTGCCTTATATAAATGTGGTTGTTCCAATGCTTTTCTTTTGACAGGAAAATTATATATACACCAATGTTTTTACTCCTTTCCATCCTGGATTTGCTTATTCTACCTGAACCTAATGAAAATAAACTCCCATCATTGTATATCACCAATACCATAAGAACCATCACACTGGTTTTTTTTTTTTAAAAGTAACAGTTATTTGAATTGTGAACCAACAAGAGAAAACGATATGGTGGTAAAAATAATACCAAAGCTTCTCAGACAGGGAAGGAAGCAAATAACTGAACTGTCTCTAGCTATCAAATATGCAAACTACAGGAGACAAGACAACACATGTTCAGTGTTACATCAGCTGCTACAAAGCAATGACTGTAGCAGTATTAAAATACATGTCCAAAACAGAAACCAGTATTGTAAAACATGTCCTTAAGGACTGGAAAAGGGCAGTACCCCACCTCACACAGCTGCAAGAGAAAATGTCAAGCATTCAAAGAAGCTATTTCAAGTACATAAATATATACATGTCACGTTGTGATACTCACACAGATATGCAAATTCAGACTTTTTTTATTTATACAATGTGTAATGGTAACCAATAATTATCTAATTAATAATAGGAAGAAAATACATTAGCTGACCGTAGGAAAAAAAGAGCAACCAACAGAAACATTTGAAATAAACCACTAAGTTTGCTGTGTGGCATTATCCCCCTACAATACACTAATGGAAGCAGGCCAATACTGTAACACCCCTCCACATTACTTCTGGTCTGAATGTGGTTGTGGGAAAACACTGGCACTGGGCCAGCACTCTGATCTTCCAAAAGCAAACAGACTTCTAGTCAGTCAGCATTCATCTCCAAAATCAGGAAGACATGAGTTTATTCTGCTAGTAGATGGGAGCCCTGCTTATCCATTTACCTATTAACCACATCACCACCACGACAGGTAAAGCCACGTCAGGCTCCTTTCTGTCAAGGGCCAGGTGTGCTACTTTCAAAGCTACCAGCTGATGAGAGCAATTACAGCAGAGAATAACCAGCTGGAAGGTAAAAGACCAAATTACCAGCGATGTCCTTCAACCTAGCAGGGCACAGACTGAGCCTGCTAGGTGCTGTCAGAAGCGGGTCCCGGCGAGGGCCCCAGCAGGGCCAGCACAGCCCGGGGAAGGGCTCGGCACCCGCCCCACTGACCCCCCATCTGGGCAGGAAACCCCCCTGCCGCGGCACACGCGCTCTTTGTCAGCAACCAGCTCCCTGCACAGCCGCTTAACACCAGAAAGCAGGTTCAAATGGAAGCTCCCTCTCCCCCC